CTTTCAATCCCCATTCAACTACTTCCCTCTAATGTTGATGGTTAACCCTTCTGTGCATCAGCTGCTTTGCAGCAGCTCTGTGAAGCAGAGCAGTACCTGTAATTCAGAAGGTGCAGGTGACAGAATGTCAGCGCCTAGTCTGTTGTGCGAGGCTTTTTATCTGGTGGTCAGGCAACCAAGCACACATGCCACCTCAGCTCTCTCCACAGAACAGACACGAAGAGGGCGTAGGCGTTGTCCGTATCTGGATGTGGTCTTGTGACCGAGGGATGTGGGTTGGTCAGTGTCTCCCCTAATGTCTGTAGGCATCTGGATGCTCCAGATGATCTTGTGCCTTCTTGTAAAGACTAACCCCACCATCTGCGATGAGGCACTGGTTCACCTGAAGTGTGTGCCAGGCACATTCAGTGCAGCTGTAGAAACTGGCATCCTGCTGTTTCTATGCAGCATCTTGCACTGCCTATTCTTGAAACCCGGATTGGGGAGCTGAGCCAGGCAGCAGTTAATGTACTGCCACTCTGAAATAGCCAGCGGAGCAGGACTAGGTCCTTTTGCATGAGATTCTACATGGGCGAGGGTGAAGAGGGCACTGGTGCAGCAACACACTCGTGCTCTTCTGTTGCACTAGGTCGTTTGGTTATACAGACCTAGTTACTGTCTTCCTTATGCAAGTGTTGTCCTAGTGTGAACCCAGGCCTTAATCTCCAGGTTTATCCTGATGAAGGGAAAAAAACCTCTCGAGTTTAATAGTCTTGTGAGGTCATCTATGTTGTGTGGCCATTCCTGTGGTCCTGAGAATCTACTGGAGTACACTGTAGCTCCCTTTCTGTTTACGTATCTGTTTGCCACGGGTGGAAGCCAAGTCATGCAGATCATGGTGCGTAACCAGCTCTTGGCTTTGTAGAGTGCAGTCCTAGGGCTCATGGCCGCGTGGTGAGAATCTGAGGATGAGGACAGTGAAGTACAATGCCCACAGAGTATAGGCGCAGGGAACGTGGTTATGTGGCACTTCAGAGGAAAGCGAATCCTCAAATCGAAGAGGGCTGCTGTGAAAATAGCCTATGTTCGTCGGCTTGTTGTCCGTGAAGAGAGATTTGATTGTTTCCTTCTGACATGTCATAGTTGTCAAGCAGGGAGGGTAAAAACGCACTGAATCAAACTAATCTTCTATAATAACTGGGCACTCTTAAAGCAAGTTCCAGTCTTTTCATTATCTGAAAAGTTCTTAGTAGTTCATATACTAATTTGCAAACAGCAAAATTACAGTGACATTTCAGAGAAATCAGAGTCTCTAATTTCCTCTCTTAAAAATTTCATATTCTTTCTAGAGCTGATACTAACTTTCAGTATAGATTTTCCCTCATGCTAATACTGAAGTAAACTAGTAAAAATATTGTTTACATTGCTGAATGCAGTGAGGATTCTATATTCTCTGGATAGAGATCTGTTTTGAAGGAAAAGAGTTAAAATGATCTGTTTACCTAAAAGTAGAATTCAACAGCATTTGAATTATTCACCTTGCGGTTTTGAATGTTGTCATTACATGAATTGGTCTGTAAATTCCTCGTTACATTCATCTAATCTATCTCATGATGATATAATTACATAGAATGTATAGTTGAAAGGATTACCATAAAGTTTTGCTACAAAAGACCCTTTACATATGGCATCTGCGCACATTGATTGCTAATGGAAACTTACTGCATTGTGCTGTATGAACAAAACGTTAAGAAACATGCTTGTTCACAGGACAAAATTCTGCTACTAGTTTTGTAATGTAAGCAGATTGTAACAAGGTAATCAAACAACATTTTTTATTTATATAGGTAAATATGGAGAGAGCTTTCATGCAGAAACCTCAGTTTCTCTGCAGAGCAAGTCATGTCCTCCTAATCCGTGTGGAAGCAGACAGCTAGGTCCTTTAGGTAAATGCAGCCCACAAGGGATTGAGAGATGAAAGCTGCCTATCAACTTGTTTGAGAGGCAAGGTCCACTTACACCTGTAGCTTCACTTTGAAATGTAGCTTAAGTCTTGATAAAGTATGCTCTGACAACATACTAGTCGTGCAACATGTGGCCTTATGCATCTGGATATCCATGTAGTGTCTCAGCTGAGATGGTCGTACTACTGGATTTCTCTGTGTTGAAAGAGAACCGTCTGAAAGACTCAAGTTATGGGTCCAAAAAGGCAAAGCTTTACCTGGCCTCTGAGGTGACTTTGCTCTAGAAGCACATCACTGGCATTTTCTTGGTAATGTAAGTAAAAAGCAGTAACTTTGGAGGTGGATTCCAAACAATACAATGGATCTACCCTCAAAACCCAAATCTTGCCTGCTGCTAGTAACGAGGAATGCTGCTTTCAAAGGAAGTTAACATAGGTAACGTGTAGCCAAAGACTCAAAATGTAAGGGTGGAAGTACTGAATTTCAGTCCTATATTCCTTGTGATTTATCCCATGCAATTACGGCAACAATACATAAGGATGCAGAATGTGACGATAATCTCAGTTTCTATGAAAGCCTGGTATAAATGGTTAAACCATTTTGCTGAATGATACAAGTAAATGGTACATGAATTCCTTCACAATTTCATTAGTCTTTTTATTGCACATAAGTCTGTTGTGGAAATTCTGGTATATTGTCAGTAAAAAAAAAAAAAGAAGGGGACTGAGATGTGTCCCTCTGGCAGGAGTAAGAAAGGCTGTTTCTTTCAGTGTTTAAAATTTTAGTGTGTTTGTTATTCTATGTGGAGGTTGGGGAAATACATGTTACATCTGTATGTATGCATGTGCATGCACTTATATAAGTCTAGCAATATAAGAATAAACTTTATACTTACAGTACTATTCCTATCTAGAGACCTGTTGATTACTGTGAGCTCTGCTGACTGAAGAGCTCAGTGTAGGACTGTGATTGTGCAGGATGTCACCAGAATTGCTTATACTGCTTACATTACTACTGCCTTGAGATAATATGCCTAATATATGATATATGACTGTAGTTTGTTTTCTGAATAAGCACTTTGGCTCAGTATATTAAAGATAGTATTTTAAATATTTCTCTTAAGGTTTTATAGGATGGTTGATTGGCATGGCAATCAATATTCATTCTGATCATATTCTCAGAAATCTGAGAAAACCAGGGGAAACCGGTTACAAGATACCCAGAGGTGAGTAAAACCATTACAGAAATTTATATAGCAAAGAAACATCTTATATGAGGAGAGGCAGAGAGAGCTGGGGCTGGTCAGACTAGAGACGAGAAGGCTCAGAGGGATCTTATCGATGTGTATAAATTCTTGATGGGAGGGAAGGAAGAAGAGGAAGTCAGGCTTGTAGTGGTGTCCAGTGACAGGACCAGAGGCACTGGGCACAAAATTCAAACACATGAAGTTACATCTGAACACGTTCTTTGCTGTAAGGGTGGTCAAACACTGGAACAGGTTGCTCAGAGAGGTTATGGAGTCTCCATCTGTAGAGATACTCAAAACAGGACTGGACATGGTTCTGGGCAACCTGCTGTAGCTGACCCTGCTTGAGCCAGGGGGGTTGGACTGGATGATTTCAAGAGGTCCCTTCCAACCTAAAATGGTTCTGTGTAAAGATGACCTTCTAAGGCTTGGTATATTTTAGGGGAGGTAGTCATTTATGATATAAGAGGAAACTGGAAATAGCAGTTTGTCTACCTCAAGAAGTTATTTCAGTGTAGGAAACTTTTTTTTTCCCCCTCTTAAGCCAAGTATACTAAGGAATCTGTTTCATGATACTGCATGGCTTATGTGAGACTTTGAATTTCTTAACCAACTTTGGCTGTATTTTTAAAAAGTGGTAAAAATGTAACATAGCATTTCACAACTTCTGTGAGAATCAGCAGGTGGGTGGAGAAAGACCTAAATTATTATTCCAGCTTGGGGACAGGAGGGGAAGGCAGAAAGTACCTGGCTGCTGTGTGTGGCTGGCCCACCTTATGTTGTCCCACGTCTGAAGAGGGAGGGAGCTTGGGTAATTGGAGAGCATCAACTACTTCAGTACGGGAGATACAGGGGAAAGAGGACAGAAATCCAAAGGAAGCTAGGCATTATAAATTCTGGCCTTCGTGGGGAAAATAAAATGGAGAATATGAAAGGACTTCTTATGGAGCCTATTGAAGTGTTAAGGTTTATTGACACTTCTGGAAACATTAGACTCTTCCAGGTATATTACATTCAATGAGAGCAGAAAAGTAATAGTTACCTCTGAATTCTGGTGTCTCTCTAAATTTTTCCTTTAGTTCTTACTGTCTCTTGGTTTTAGTGAGATTTTTTTGTAAAACTGGAAGAACTATATATATAAAGCAGTAGACTGTCATTTTTCTCCATGAAGGTAACTTTATAATTTTAATAGATGTAAATCCCAAATGCCATGTGAAAAGTTAATATGAATGTACTTTACTTTGTTCCGTGTACAAAAAAGTTGTAAAGGAAATAAGATGTTATCTGTGGCATGATCAGGAGGAGTTGGTCTTTGATATTGCTTATCCAGTTTAAGTACTAGAATTCCACTTCTCTTGTCACAAAAGTGAAGTAATTAAAGCAAGGTCAAAATGTGTCCTTTATTACACTTGGCAAATACTTGTTTGTTTAGTGCCACTGGTAAAGCACATACTGAGATGTTATCAATTTGTACACTAACTTTGGAATTAGGGTGAAAGTTTTTATTTTACAAAGTTCCCAGCAGGTGAGTACTGATTGTTTATGCATAATTGGCTGTAAAACACACTAAATGCAGACTGCCAATTACTTCTTTCACTGAGTGTCAGGGCTGAAGCCATAGACCTGATGGGGGGATGGGAACAAAAGGGCAACATATTTTAAGCTAGAGGATAAATTTGGAACTTTAATTCATAATAATAATAATATTGTTCATAATTACCTTATGTACTTCAGAAGTTAAAGAAATTAAGCATTGTATGCTAACTAGCCCCTTGAGTTTTCTGTGATTCAAAGGGTAGAATATTTTCTATTTTTACATATTTTAAAAAATGTTTAGTTTATGATCAGAGAGCCAGTTTCATATCACTGTTAAGTAATTATTTAGAGTCATGAACTTGCTTCAGATACTGGTAAATCTGCTTTTTCTTTCATGATTTAAAGAGATAAAAATGGAGCTGGAGAAGGTCTGTCTTAGAATGAGGTCTGAAATGATCCTTCATAGTACAGCTTGAACTGAAAAACACTGCCTTTAAAAATTATATAGATACATTGGTGATATAACTCTTACTTGACTTACAGTAAAAGATAGCATTGGAGATATCCTTGATTTAGGTGCTTTTAAAATAACTCTGTCCTGCTTTCAGGAGGAATGTTTGAGTATGTCAGTGGAGCCAACTTTTTTGGAGAGATCCTGGAATGGTTTGGGTTTGCCCTTGCCTGCTGCACCATTGAAAGCCTTGCATTTGCGTTGTGTACGCTTTTCATCTTGGGCTCAAGGGCAAAACAACACCACCAGTAAGTGTTTGTGTCTTATAATTTCTGTAGTCTCTATGCCACGCTTCCTTTCCATTTCACAAATTATGCCTCATCCCATAGGGGTGTTGCAGAGCAAGTCTTGTGAAAGACTCTGTTACTGCAGTGGAGAATACTCTGAGTAGTATTAAGCACTGCAGAATTTCAATGGGATAGTACTGAGCATAAACACGCACTATGTATGAGGTGGTCAAAATAACGTTTAAATGAACATAGTTCATCCTGGATCTGCAAGGATTATAGACAAGTTTGAGCAAATTGTTTTAATTGATCATATACTATACTTTGCCCTGCGGCTCAAACTTGTTTCTATAATATTAAAATTTTGAAAAGCACTCTAAAGTCTTCTGTAACAGGCACACTTTATAGTCAAGTCTGTATCACTGTCTATAATCAAGTGTATAGTCAATGTGAAAACAGTTCTGGTAGATGATATTTAATAAAGTCTCTGCTCTGTAATTAAACAGTCTGACAATGTACTGTACTCATAATGTGGCTTTCCTGCTAACAGAAGGATTGTAGTTTGGGAAGACTTGTTTCTTGAAAGGATTCTCTTTAAGGAATAGCATGTTTAAAAGAATTTGAACACCTTAATCTTATTTTGGTTATTTTCAGCTTCCTGCTTTGGTTCTCATGCTGAAACTTAATGGCGCAAGAGGAAATAAAAATGAATATATGTAGGCAATAGGTTGAAAAAAAATTGCCATTGCTAAGTCTGTCAGGGCAAGTCTTGAAAACCTCCAGAAACAAAGGTTGTCCTGCACCTTGTTTGTAGGGTATTCCAGGTCTGTATTACCCTCCAAGTGAACAAGTTTTTCCTACTATCCAACCTGAACCTTCCAAGCCTGTCACCTGTGACCATCTCTGTTTGTTTTACCACCTGCTATTACTGAGCAGAGTTGCAGAATATCTTAGGTTGGGAGGAGCATCTGAAGGTTGTCCAGTCATCTGGTGTGACCTGCTCCAAGCAGGGCTAACTGCTAGGCTGTACCTGGTTGCCCAAGGCCTCATGCAGTTTGAGTTCTGAGTGTCTCCAAGGGTGGAGGCTTCAGCACATCTCTGGCAAAGCACTGGAACAGGATTTTTCTCGCTCTTATGGGGAAGAGGGTTTTTTTCCTTAAGTCCAGTTGGAATTTTCCATTTTGTAACCTTTATCCCCTGCCACTTGTCCACTCGCTGTGCACTGCCAGGACAGATAAGGCTCTGCCTTCTCTCAAATATTGCTGTTCGTAGTGGAAGACTGAAATTAGATTTGCCTCAACTTTGTTTCCAGGTTGAACAAGCCTAGTTCCCTCAACATCTCCCCTGTTGTTCCAGCTATGCAGTCATGTTAATGACCATCTTCTGGATTCTTCTCCAGTTTGTGGACATCTCTGTTGCACAGGAAGCTGAAAACTGGAGGCAGTAATGCAGATGCAGGCTCTTAACTGCTGAATAGTGGAGAATAAGCACTTCCCTTGACTTGGTGGCTGTATACTTGTTGAAGCAGACCAGTATGCAGTTAGCTTTCATCATTGCAGGGATCCATTACTGACTCGTGTTCAACTTGTCCATCAGGATGTCCATGTCCTTTTGTGCAGGGCTGCTACCTAGCCAGTCTCTGGCCTGCACTTTTGCATGGGGCCATTGCATTCCACCTGCAAGTGTTTGCATTTCATTCATAGTTTTGCTCTGTTGTCTTAAATAATTCCCATACCTGTAGGCAGCAATGACAGGACCCCTTAGTCTCTTCCTTGCCAGACTAAGCAGTGCTGGGTTCCTCAGCCTCTCCTTGTATATTATGTTCTTCAGGCTCAAATTCCATGGTTGGTTTCTGTCCATCTTGAGCCTTGATACCACTCTTTCAGATCTCTTGATTTAGAGCACTATGAAAAGCTAAATGTTATTAAAGGAAGTAATTTGCACTAAAGGAAAAGTGCATAAAAATGGAAGAGGGGAACAGAAAATAAGAACAACTAAAAATTGCAAATCCATGTAAGCAAAGAAATATTTTGGTGTAGTTAAGTTTGAGAAACTTAAGGAAAATGACTGAAAAGGGTAAATAGTGTAATGCTGGTATTCCACAGCTGCAGGTTATCATGCATTGCATGCTTTGTTCTCTGCTTATTCCAGCTTTGATCTTGCAGTTAGCTATTGATAATGTGAATACCTGCACTTTTGAGGAGCCCAGCGGAAGTTAATTGAGAAGCAGAAAAATAAATATTTGAAAATGGAAGTAAATGTCTGTTATATAAAGGTAACCAGACAAATAATATTTGGTAGTGCTATGCGTTCTTTTAAAATTGTCTGGATTTGAAAATAGTGATGGTCTTTGAGGGGAATTGGCAGTAAGGGTAGCGTAGTGCTTGTCACATTCAGATTGATTATCCAAATCCTGACTGGAACTGAAGATGTTTCTATCCAGAGCTATCCAGACTATTGTTCCAGTATGTGAAGTATCCCTTGCTTCCACATGAAGTCATTATACAATTTGACATTTTATCGCCTTGAATGTTTTTGGTTTGTTTTTTTTTCTCCCCTAATTCTAAAATGCAAATGCCCAGGATGTGTAACAACATACTTCTTGCAACAACAGGCTGTTCCTTCCCTGGCTGCTCTCACCACACCTTTGGTTTGATTTCCAATTGCTGGCAGCAGTAACTTTGTTTCATTGTAGTTGGTGATTAGACGTCATTAGGATGAGTGTGGTAAATAGTGGTTTTCTATCCAGAGTAGGTTCTAAAAGCATTTTTATGGTCTGTGGCCAGAAAATATATGGATTAAATTGGACACATGGTACAATTACTTAATTTCCTCGACAGCACTTTGAAGACTCAATACTCATCAGATTTGTGTCTTTCTTTTTCAGATGGTACCTTGAGAAATTTGAAGACTACCCAAAGTGCAGAAAAATTGTGATCCCATTTCTCTACTGAGCTGTGCTTTTAACACTGTTTCTGAAATGGATGCTTTTTGTAACAGCTAATGCCTTACAGGTGTTAGCAGGTTAATAACATACTCTGATCACCACTGTGACAAAGCCTTTGCATCAGTGCTGCTATTAGATACTGCTCTTCCTCTTAATGAAAACCCAGAAAGTGATGGACATGCTGAATAGGAACAGAAATGCTTTTGCAACAGTGGAGCACCATCATAAATACAATTAGGCAATGCATCTGATTTTGCATCATGGAAAGTACTGTTACAGGAGTTCTGGTGTTTTCTTTTCTGCCTATCCAAGCTTCTGCTGTTTCCACTTGATCTAGCCACGCTGTCCTGAGGACTGTGCCGTGAGCCCAGTCACTGTCACTGCAATCTGGATGGTGTGTTCTGCCTGTTACTTGCCTGCATACACAAATGGGGTTGATTTTTTTTTTTCCCTTGCCTTCCTAATCCTTTCTTCCCCCACCTGCATTTCCAGGAGAATGGATGATGCAGAGCAAGGACATTAGATGAATATAGTTGCTGTTAGGTGAGAGACAGTATACTTCCTCCTCTTTGCACTTGTACACAGGTATGGGCACTGTATAGATAATACTTAATGCCATTTGCATAAACAGCTCTAGTGCTACCTTTTCTAAAGAATACATTTTGTCATCTACCTCTCAAATTTGATAACTATCTCTATTCAGTATGTGTTTTTTCACTCAATGCTATTTTTAGAAGGCATTCTTTATTTGGGATACTTAGGCCAGTCTAGCCCTGTTAACAATTGTATTATATAAAAACAACTTTAAGATTTTACAAAATTTTCTATGATGTTTAAAAAAAATCAAGTGTCTTCCTTCTCCTGTTGATAAGTTTAGATGATTTTATATTCCAAAAATCTGGATTTTTTTTTAGTGCTACTTTTATTAATGTCAGTTCTCATACCCCCATATTTTTCTCCCAAAGGCTCCAGAAGGGTTTCAAAAATGTGATGGGATCCCAAGCATACTGACTTTCAAGTTTCAGGCACATCTGTGTCCTTTGCATGCTTGTGATATTAAAGAATTCTTAGAATTGCTGAAAAAAAAATTAAGAAATTCTACAGAAAACTTAAAAAAAGCAAGCAACAAACACAAACAAAACCCCCCCAAACCAACAATAATAATAAATAATAATAAACACCCTCCCCCCCAAAAAACCCCCAAACAAATCCCCCACAAAACTCAAACTCTTCTGCTAACATAGTTTGGAAATCAATGGAAATCAAACTTTTGCCAAGTATCTTCTGATCTGTTGACACTGTATATGTTGGGTTATGTTCTTCAAAACAAATTGGTAACATAATTTTACTAGATGCTGAGTTTTCCAGTATGGTATTGCAGTAAGCTTTATCTAAAGCTCAAAATTCTGTCTTTGCTGTTGGGTTACACTGCTGTAGTAATCAAAGTAACATATCTGATGAACTTTACCTTTAAAATTTTAGATACTAGTTTAAAAAAAGTACATTTCATAAATGGGCAGTGAAAAAAGGACTTGGACCCAAGCTTCTGCTTAACAATTGTTTTTTCCTCTTCTCCTTCCTGCCATGTTTATACAGTACTTACTGCACTGCAGTCTTGGCTATTATTAAGGATCTATTCAGTGGTGTAAATAAGTGTAACAAAAAATTCTATCGTTATTAACTGAAATAGTCAAAGGAAGAGGTGAGAGAAACTGGCAGTCCTGTGGTGACGATGACTGACCTGCAACTAAGCCCTTGGGCTGCCAGTTGCTCCTCATAATGTAGACTGGGATGACCAATCCTGCTCTCTGCCAATAACCAAAAAGTCCAGCTTTGGGAGAACATAGGAATACTCATTCTTTTGCCAGTGTCATTACTTGATTCTCAAATTTAATCATTTATTCAGTGTTGACATCTTTCCTTACTGTTTTACAGGAAGTTTGAGGCTTCTCCTCTTGTTTTTATCACACTATAATTTTGCATTTGATCCTAGCTCTTTGATTGACAGTCATGAAGTTCCCTGGGGAAAGGATGGTGGGGAGGATGACTTACTCCTCAATGCTAAAGTGGAGTTAGTGGACAATAAAATTTCAATAGGATCACTTAAAGCATATTCTGAAGAGAATTTTAGAAACCTAGTCTTTATATATAGAAATATTTTTAAACCCTAACATATCCCTGTGGCAGTTTTTAAAATCTTGGTATCAAAATCATCCAGCTATCAAAATGTGGTTTAGAGGGAAAAAATACAGGATTCAAAGAGCACTATCTACTCTAGATGTTAAAATACTTGCATAGTTTATGATGAATTAATCTTGTATCTTTAGGGATATTTGATTAAAAAAAAATCACTAATAGGACAACCAACCAGTAAAAAAGATCTGGCTGCAGCACTTTAGTCTCTAATCTACTATCTCTCTTCTTTTTTTGGCCTTTTATGAAAAGGCAGAGATTCTTTTAATAGTAAATAGTGGGAGAAACTGTTCGGTGTTCGGTAGATCTCCTTATATTCAAGAGCTGTAGCTCTCTAGTCAGCAATCTGTATCATAGTTTACAGAAAATTTGTACTGATGCCTCAGTGTTGCTCTGGTGCTATGTTGTTAAATATTTATCTTGACTAAAAGTTCAGCTGGTTTGCTCACATAATGTTAATTTATGGTTTACCTGTAGCAGGATGGGGATCTGAGACGCGATGCTCTGACAGCTTATCTGTGTGTGTTCTATTGTTACAGAAGATGAAAGGATAAGGTCTATGGGATATGAATGTCAGTGCATTTAGAAATTCTAGTTGATTGGATTATAAGAAAAGGAAAAAAAAAAGGAAGAAGGTTTTGTTCTTTGTGTGTTTATATCTTATATTCTCATTGTACTGTTGGAACCTTCCTTAAGTACAGAATTTGAGGCAGTTCATCAGAGCACAAGTCTTATGAGGAGCGGCTGAGGGAACTGGGGTTGTTTAGCCTGCAGAAGAGGAGGCTGAGGGGAGACCTTATCACTCTCTACAACTACCTGAAAGGAGGTTGTAGGCAGGTGGGTGTTGGTCTCTTCTCCCAAGTAAAAAGTGGTAGGACAAGAGGAAATGGCCTCAAGTTGCACCAGGTCAGGTTTAGATTGGGTATTAGGAAAAATTTCTTCACCAAAAGGGTTGTCAGACATTGGAACAGGCTGCCCAGGGAAGTGGTTGAGTCACCATCTCTGGAGGTGTTTAACGACATGTAGATGTGGCACTCAGGGACACGGTTTAGTGGTGGACTTGGCAGTGTTAGGTTAACGGTTGGACTCAATGGTCTTTTTCCAACCTACATCATTCTAGGATTCTTGCATTTCAAGACCAAGGTGCATTGGTGAAAAGCATATGACAACTTGGACAAATGCTAGAACTGTCTTTTGTTTAAATAATATGCCATTTATTTGTCATACTTCACTCATGCTCCCTTCCCCTTTCAGCAGCTTTGACAGAATTTTTCTGTTAGAAAATATCTGATATTGAATTTTTTCTTGAAAATATGTTGTGTGAAAATGATCTCTCTCCATTCCAGAAGGAGAAAACATGTACTTGCAATTGGGTATAGTATCTGTAGCAGTTTTTAAGGGACACTTGTATTCAGACTGCCTACATCTTTCCCAAAAATCCCCTACTAATAAAACATTGTTTGCAGTGTCTTGCTTGAATCCTTTTTTTCTGTTAGTAATCCTTCCTATAACTTGTGGAGGTTGACCAAGGCTTTTGTACCAGTGATTTCATTATCCCAAATGAGGTCTTCAGGACTGTAATAGTAAGGTTGTATTAGAATAACCTAAATGCATATATGAACTTCATGAGATACACTCAAAAAAAGAAAATATCCAAAGTCACAAGAATTTGTCTTGTGATACGATCTTAACTATGTAAAACAAAGTATGTAGCTGAGATGTTCTACACTTGCAGTTAGAGCAAAGATTAACAGAAGCAGAGACTACTTATTTGGGTTCCTCTTCTGCTGCTAGGTCATGGTGAACTTTTCATTTGGAACAACTGTAGCACCTGCCGTTTCAACTATTTTAATTGTGGCTCAGCAGCATATTGTCTTTTTGAGGCATCAAGATAGTGTACAAATGAGTTGTCACATAAACTTGTATTCTTTCAGCAGGCAAGAAATCCTGAGAGAGTACCACAGAGTTTTTACAGGTGTTTGGGAAAAACACCTGTAACACATGTTTAAATAAATAAATTTAAATAAATGAATAATTTCAGTAGGAGAATGTCCCAGTCTGTTCTATGCTACTAAGTTTTACCAGTAAGAGTTGCACTTCTCTGGGCAGCCTTTCACACCTACATCAGTCAGTTTTGTAAGGAAAACAGGTCTCTAGGGTAAAATTGCACCACTTTCTGTAGTGGTGCAATGTATCTGTTGGCACCTATGTGCCCACGCAAACACACATGTGAACAAGCAATTGTGGAAATTTCTGTTGCAAGACAAGTTAAGGGATAAGCCTAAAACAAGGTTTGCATATGAGAGCTGCACAACTGCAACTTGCTGTTGAGCTTTTTTCTTTTAATTAAAAAAAGTCTTGTAGATCCTTTGCTTGATTTACCATGTTTGCTTTGAAAGCAAAACAAATACGCTATGTTTTGTTACGTACAAGTGGATGGTAGAAGCAATAGGTTATTTGTTCAAAGATGAAAGAATATATAATAACTGGTACAACATTTGGTGTAATGCCTCTCCAGAGATGATGCATTACCAGTGGTGCTCACAGGAGCCTTGCACTGATGATGTTTGTCCCTGCTCCCTAGGAGTTGCAGCCTCTTTTTTTTTTTAATTTTTTGGAAATGCCTGTCTACCTGTCCAGTTTCTGAGGGGATGCAGGTAGCTGGATCTAAAGAGGGAGCACTTAGCAAAGCCATGTGTTCCAGCTGCTCTGGGAGGGAGCACACCACTTCATTTTTGGGCTATTGAAAGGGAAAAAGAGTGCAAACTTAGATATAAACTTTTACCAGGAAAGAGGGACCTGTGTGATCATACC